CGCTGTCAAACCTCGATATTGCTAAGCAATAAATCGCATTCTAATTTGAAGAGTAATAGCAATGTCGTCACAGTAGTTGTGAACTCGAAACAGAATTTGGAAGTAAATTTGTCTAAGATTACTTCTGACGTCTGATTTTCATATCTTAACAATTCACTTCTTATGTTTCATAAAAGTGTTCAGGAAAGTACGAATGTAGTACCACTTGATTTAACCCGTTGCTTTATTTTTGGACATGTGTACCTCACTGTAATTATTTTCTAATTGTTCATTTTTAGCGAATTATGGATATGGCATTGTTAGACTATGATTGCTTTTGTAATAATGTGAGATCCTGGAAACTGTTCTCTACTGATAAACGAGGCGTAGATGTTGGATTAATCTCGTGCCTTCGCCAAGCTGAGTTCCATTTCGAGTTCTGATAAGAGGTTCAGAGTGACTTTAAGAATTCAATGTATAGCAGATTGCAAACAATTGCTAGAATAAATATAGTTTGAAATGACCAAAATTCTAAGATTTTTGGCTGAATCAAATCTAGATAGGTTTCGGCGGACACGCTCAATTTGAGATCATTTATCTTATGTGATATCCTATTTTTTTTCTAGCTTACATCTACCAGTTAGCTTCTGTTGTCGTTGTTGAGAAAAAGGAAACCCTTTTTATATTTATTGTTAACTTTCCCTGTACTAAAGAAACTTCCGCAGCTGGGCGAGCAGTCATTGCTGTTCCCAAAAAAGCATCCACTAGGAAAAACCTTTTAGTGTTACAACGGTGAAAGCATTCACTCGGTGTGAAGAAGTGGATCTTGCTTCAAGAATCTGTGGGACATATTGCTGCTACTTGTAGTTGAACCTCGTTGCCATTTAGAGAATACAATTGCTCGCATGAACTTGCAAACCTTCCATAGAACATGGCTAATCTGATACACATGCTCAAGAGGTGTTGTATGATTGTAGCAGCCGTTACCTTACCAAAGAGAAATTATAGGAATTGAGAGGACTAAAATTAAAAGACTTTTCTTGTTTAGCCTTGAAAATGAACTAATAATCTTATTGAAAATTTTATGCGGCTTTCAAAAATTGGAAAGATCTTCTATCTTTGTTGGAACGATATTTTGGTAAAAACTAGCAAACTGTTAAGTTGCTGGGATAGTCTTGCAAGAGATATTCAAAAATGTCTCCTACTGCAGGTTTATCTTTTTTGACTCAACACAGTGACGCGGTGGTAGTCTATCAAAAACGACTCAAAATCCAAATTTGGTTTCAATCAGAGAGGCATCGGTTATTGAAACTAGTGGCAATCAAATCACTAAGTAGATTTGTGTCCGGTATGTGTCATGTTCTTGTCAGTTATATTAGAAATATGCTTGTATGTGCCATTGTTTTCAAAATTTAAGTTAACACATTATCATATATATTCACACCCATTTGTTTGCTTAATGTTCTTAAGTTTTTTGCAAAACATGTAGTTATACTAGCTTTTTCTATTGGACATATCATGAATATGTTAAGTATTTCTGTTAGATTCAATCCAGTGTCTACTTTTATGCAAAAGTCTTCATGGATGAGGATGTTTCTTCATTTAATTTAAATCAATTTTTTATATTAAATAGTGCTGCTATTGTGTTGTTAACCCAGGTTGTGTAATCGTTTTTGTGAATTCTTTTGATCAAACGGAATTTTGTGCTTTTATTAAAGATGTCTATAAGTTTTTGTTCAATATTTTTAAGTTTCCACTAACAATGTGTTTGTGGTGTGGATCCATGTATTTTTTGTACTTTTCATGTTCGCAAATGCAAGATTCATTACTTACTTCTTTCAACTCTCTGTTACTGAGATTTTTCAATGTTTTGTTATAGTTAAATATTATTGACGATATTGACTTGTTGTAAACATACTTTATATTAAATGGTTAAAATTCAGTGTTGGAATTATTTGTTATTATTAAAATTGACCACCTTGTTAAGATTAATGTGATCTAAAATTAGGTGTATGTGTGAGCTTTTAGGATAGTTGAATC